TCAGACAATGTTATTCATATGTGACTTGGTGGGTCCAAGTCTTCTTGATAGATGTGACTTTGGGGATACTTATTCAGATGTAACTTGGTGGGTCCAAGTCGTAAATGGTTTATTTAAAAGATGTGACTTGGTGGGTCCAAGTCAGACAATGATATTCATATGTGACTTGGTGGGTCCAAGTCAAAAACGGTTTATTTAGATGTGACTTTTGGTCTACTTATTCAGATGTGACTTGGTGGGTCCAAGTCAAAAATGGTTTATTTGGTTTGTTTAATAGATGTGACTTGGTGGGTCCAAGTCAGACAATGTTATTCAGATGTGACTTGGTGGGTCCAAGTCATAAATGGGTTGTTTGGATGTGACTTGGTGGGTCCGAGTCATAAATCGTTTATTAATAGATGTGACTTGGTGGGTCCAAGTCAGACAATGTTATTCATATGTAACTTGGTGGGTCCAAGTCATAGACAGTTGGTTTACATGTGACTGGGTGGGTCCAAGTCATAAATGGTGTGTTTAAGAGAAGTGACTTGAAGGGTCCAAGTCAGACAATGCTATTCATATGTGACTTGGTCCAAGTCATAAATGGTCTATTTAATAAATGTGACTTGGTGGGTCAAAGTCATAAATGGTCTATTTAATAGATGTGACTTGGTGGGTCCAAGTCAGCCAAGGTTATTCATTTGTGACGAGGTGGGTCCAAGTCAGACAATGTTATTCATATGTGACTTGGTGGGTCCAAGTCATAAATGGTCTATTTGATAGATGATGTGACTTCGCGGGGCCACGTTAGACATTGTTATTCATATGCTACCATAAGGGTGGAGGCCATCGCTATTATAAGGTTGGAGGCCATCGCTACAAGGTTGGAGGCCATCGCTATTATAAGGTTGGAGGCCATCGCTATTATAAGGTTGGAGGCCATCGCTATTATAGGGTTGGAGGCCATCACTAGTAGGTTGGAAGCCCATCCCTAGTAGGTTGGAGGTCATTACTAGGGTGGAGGTCATCGCTTGAAACAGTATGGAGGCCATCGCTACTATCCGTATTTGGTTGGAGGCCATCGCTATTGGAGGCCATCGCTAGTAGGTTGGAGGCCATCGCTAGGGTGGAGGCCATCGCTATTAGGTTCGAGGCCATCGCTATTAGGTTGAAGGCATAGGTTGGAGGCCCTGGCTAGTAGGTTGGAGGCCATCGCTGGTAGGTTGGAGGCCATGACTACTAGGTTGGAGGCCATCCCTAGTAGGTTGGAGGCCATCGCTAGTAGGTTGGAGGTGGAGGCCATGGCTATTAGGTTGGAGGCCATACTTTTATAAGGTTGGAGGCCGGAGGCCATCGCTGGTAAGTTGGAGGCCATCGCTAGTAGGGTGGAGGCCATCGCTAGTAGGTTGGAGGCCATCGCCAATAGGTTGGAGGCCGTCGCTGGTAGGTTGGAGGCAATTGCTACAGTAGTAAGGTGGAGGCCATCACTAGTAGGTTGGAGGCCATGGCTATTAGGTTGGAGGCCATCGCTTTTATAAGGTTGGAGGCCATGGCTAGTAGGTTGGAGGCCATCGCTGGTAAGTTGGAGGCCATGGCTAGTAGGTTGGAGGCCATCGCCAATAGGTTGGAGGCCATCGCTGGTAGGTTGGAGGCAATTGCTAGTAGGGTGGAGGCCATCACTAGTAGGTTGGAGGCCATGGCTATTAGGTTGGAGGCCATCGCTTTTTTAAGGTTGGAGGCCATGGCTATTAGGTTGGAGGCCATCGCTTTTATAAGGTTGGAGGCCATCGCAATTATACTGTTGGAGGCCATCCCAATTATACTGTTGGAGGCTATCGCAATTATAAGGTTGGAGGCCATCGCTTGTAGCAGTATGGAGGCCATCCCTATTGGGTTGGAGGCCATCGCTATTAGGTTCAAAGAAAACGGAATCTCCGGCGCTTTGTCCGACTTCTCCGTTCTCCAGAGCGAGGCGAAAACAGGGCCGGTCAGCTTTCGATGTCGGAGGACACGTATTCCTCCACGTCGTGGTTCCCATCTTCCTCGGCATCCGGCTCATCCTGGGCATCCGGATGCCGCTGGACGATCGGATGTGCATGTGGCCGTGTTCGGCCCGTTCGGGCCGTGTTTTGGGGGGTGTTTCAGGGTGGAGGTGTTTAGGTGCACGTGTGCACCCAAAGTCGGTGCAAGCAAGAAGAGCTTCTGGAAGAGGATCCTCCTCTCCAATCTGCAGTTGTAAAAAGAGCATCTCGTTCTGTTTGTTTCTTTTTGTAGGACTCTGGAGGATCCGGCCCCGTTCTCGCCCAAGTTCTCCGACCGAGACGTGACGAAATCAGCATCCATCAGCCACCAGTGAATGAAACAATATTGTTTCTATACACTTGTTCCTAGTAGCTTCTTGTTCCTAGTAGTAAGACACTTGTTACTAGAAGCGATGCACTTGTTCCTAGTAGTTTCTATACATAGGTCGGAGGCCATCGCTAGTAGGTTGGCCATTGCTAGTAGGTTGACATGCCAAACGGGGTACCAAGGTCTTCAAAACCATCGCCCATCGCCCGCGTCCGGCCACCGGGCAGCATTTTCTGGAGGAATCTCTTTGACCCCCACTGGGCACAAGGTCACCTCAAAAGGTGAGGGATGATGTGAGATGTGATCCGACAACTTGGAGGTCTTGAAGAAATTCATGTGGCAAAAAGACCGGGTTATTGGGCGGCCCAGTCTTGTGTTTGGAAGAAACAAAAACATGCCGCATGTGAGTGTTTGTGTTTGTGTGTGGAATCGCCCTTTTTCATCCAACTGCGATCCAATGACAAACCCATCTCTTCCGTGCGCAGAGAACTTCTCTAGGATTTTTTGCACATTCAATGGTGGTTCATGCTAATTATGATCCGTTTCTTGCGGTGGTAGGTTTTGAACCAAACACCCCATGAGGATGAACATGATTCGCCACTGCGGATCTTCCTCACCAATCTGCAATGCACAAGTCCCTTCTGCTCTGAAAGCTATGGCCTCCAACCTAGTAGCAATGGCCTCCAACCTATATAATAGCAATAAGTCCCTTCTTCTCTGAAAGTTCAACCCTTTAAAGCAGTGTCTTCTGCAGCTGGTCATGTCTCTGCCATCACCCCAGCCACGATTCCCGCGCGACGGCCCAGTCGCATTGCTGAACCACTGTGCCCAATCCTCGAAGGTCATGTAGAAGGCGCCGTCATTGCCTGCAGCGCCCGACGGGTGGACGTATCAGCGTCGGACACCCGGTGTCCCAGATGAGTGTACATCGGGTACAACCTAAAGGGGAATACGAAACTCTGGTGCTGATGGGGAGGATGTGCGGAGGATGACATGAATCCATGCATCATGCCTTAAGCCCCCTGCACCCAATGGAAGACCGGGTTCCAATACTTCTGTGCCAAGGACACCCCACGCCCTTCTACCCCACCGCCGGGGCGCGTCCCTTCTGTACCGCCAGGCGCTCGGCCAGCTGCGGGTTCTCCGCCCACTTCGCCGACGGCTCGGAGGTCTCGAAGCCCGCGAAGTCCTCGAGCCGCAGGGACGTCCGACCAGCTCGCCAGCCGCGGTAGGGGTCGAGCTCAGCGACGACGGGCGCGGTGCCGAGTGAAAAGCGTGCTTTGCGGGGTGTCTTCCGGGTGAAGAAGCTGACCTCTGGGCATCTGAAGTGTCAAATTATACCAGCATAGACCCCAAACGTTTCAATCGATTCGTTGTTAATCAAAAACGATTTCTTGGTATGCCCTACCTAGCCCATTGCCTTGACTTTTGTCGGCATCGACATCGCTAACTGTTCGGCCACAAGAGAAGACAAGAGAAGAGCAGGACAAGAGAAGACAAGAGGAGGACAAGACCCGGCCACAGAGCCCGGCCACAGAGTTCAGGGGCGCGGCCAGTCAGTGTGGTCAGCTCTTTTTTCTAAGATAGAACCCCAACAGTAAACTGTTTGGGGAAAAAGAATGCATCTCTCAACCTTGGGCAGTGTAGGTTCCCGTGGGTCATCTTCCTTTGTTGGTCCCTCCATCAGAATTGGCCGCAGCCACCGCTGCGCATAGTGCGAATCCTGCTGCCATGCTGCATCACAAAGTTGTTTGCACCCAACTGGATAGTGACGTGGCACGGTGTCTAACACATTTTTGCTGGGGGTCTACTTTTACTTTTCCTACAGTATCTATTTGGGGGTCTATACAAACCATTACAGTCCCAATTTTTCCTGACGTCTGAAAAGCATTTGTCGGAACAAAGGATCTGGGCTGTCATCGAATGATGACTCACCACTGGCAATAGAATTGGCAGGAAATACGCTTGCTCATACTAGCAATGGCCTCCAACCTACTAGCGATGGCCTCCAACCCAATAGCGATGTGGTCGATTCTTGGATGACTGCACTTCCAAGCTTGGCTGTGAGAGCAAAAACGGACCCCTTCATATCCGCCGAAACCCTTTTTGTCCAAGGCTCGCACCAATCGCCTTTCCACTCACTGTTGCCCCAGGGGTTTCGAAGCTTCACCAGCCTCGGTCCAAAAGAGTTGGGATAGCATGCTCAGGAGTGGCACCAGAAAGGAGGATCCAATGATCCATTGGGATACCTGGTCAAGGCTCCTTTGGGCCCACAGGGTACAGGCCATCCCAGAGAGCCAACGTGAATAAAACCTCAACCCTTGTGAAACGTGCTCTCTGTCACACCACCAGCCTCATTAGCCCCTCCCCAGGCCCCCTCCCCAGCACCTGGTAGCCCCACGTTGAAACACCCGCCCCATCCACTGTTCGGAGCTCCCAAGGGCCGGATGGGTGAGCCATCATCCAGGCTTTCTGGGATGATCTTCAGCAAAGAATAGGCGTGGTTGGTGTATAAGCCATTGCCCTTGGCACCCTCAGCACCTGCACAGAGAGCGCACAACAAAAACATGGCTCGCGGGTCTGCGCGGGGTCTGCGCGAGGTGGGCGACTGGGTGGCATGGAAGGACTGGGTGGGATGGAAGGAGTTCCCAGCTCTGTTGGGAAGGGCGTCAACAGAGCTGACTCCCGCATCAACCACTCCAATGACCTCCTTTGAAAGCCAAAAGAAAACATGGAAAAAACCGACGCTCGAACACCACAGTTTCTGCTGAATCCTCGATGAAAAATCACAGCACAACACTTCGGTTCAGATGGCCAAACAGGTCTGGCCATCTGCAGATCCCACAGACCACCCAATGGCTGTGAGTCAAAACTAGGACCACCTGACCGGTTGCCCCGTCACAGCCATGCCCCGTGAACCGTCACACCCAGTCCGTCCCACCTGCCGAGTTCCCTGCGATGCTGCAGCCCATGACGTGCCGATCACAGATGTGCTCCTGGAGCGTCTGGTAGAGCTCCTTCAAGGATCCATCTGAGAGTCGGATCGCCACGATCTGAACCCAGCGGACGGCAGGGGTCAGAACTGCGAACGCGTGGGGGGCGGAGGGATGGATTCTGAACCAGCAAAACGCCAGATGACGGGACTGAAAAGCAGCTGTGGTTTGGCTAAGCACCACCCAAAAGCAATACACCCCCGTTCGGTTCGCGTCCGATCGCTCCGTTCGTATACCGATGCCAGTTTCGCCCCTAGGCCCTAGTAGGTAGCGTCCGATCGTTCCGTTCGCAGCCCCTCGATCGATCTGGAACCCAGCTGTGGAACCCTTTGTTCGGTGTGCCGTCTCCGCCCATCTCCGTCCTCGGTGGGAATCGTGGGAGTTGCGCTACTCCAGGTCCACGAGATGCTCCGCGGGTTCCGCGCCTTCTTCGACCTACGCGGGTTCTTGGATCGGCATCCAAATTCGCTTGAGGCACGGAGGAAACTGCACTCGTTGGCAAGGTCAATGGTCAGCAAGAAAAGAATCCATGTTCTAAACATGAACGAAAGCGCCTACTGACTACTAGCCTAGCGATGGCCTCCACCCTACTAGCGATGGCCTCCACCCTACTAGC